TGAAAGCATAAAAATCAAACAAACAAACGAAAAAAATAGACAAGTCACTGGGTAGGCTTAGTAAGGAAAAAATTAGAAGATCCTATAAGTAGAATGAGAAATGAAAGAGACCTCTCCTGACCTGCCTGCTGCTCCCCTCTTAAAGAACAAACAAACAAAAAAACCCAAATTAAGTTATGAGGCCAATATCATTCTGATACCAGAAGCAGATAAAGACACCACAAAAACAACTACAAACCAATAAATCCTGAGGAACATAGGTGCACAAATCCTCATCAGAATCTAAGCAAACCAAATCCAAAATTACATTTAAAGGATCATACATACAAACTATGTTTTATTTCAGGGACGGTTCAACATCTGTATAAGGTCAATGAAGGTGAGAAAAGAAGAGATAAAGATCACATGATCATATCAATAGACAGAGAAAGCATTTGACAAGATTCAAAATCCATTTAAGACAAAAAATTAAATTTCAACAAATTGAGAATAAAGGCCATATATGAAAAAACCCACAGCTGACATCATACTCAATGATGAAAAATTGGAAGCTTTTTCTCTATGATCAGATATAAGATGAGGGTGTCCACTGTCCCCTCCTCTGTTCAACATGGTTTTGGAATCCCCAGCTAGAAAACAATTAGGCAAGAGAAAGAAATGAAAGGACTCATATTGCAGAAGAAGAAATGAAACTTTTACACTTTGAGGTGACATGATAATATAGATAGGACACCCTAAAGACTCCATTAAAAAACTATTAGAAACTGGGCCCTCCCTGGTGGCTCAGAGGCTTAAAGCACAGCACAAAGAAGCTTAAGCCACTTCCTCATGAGTTCGATTCCCACCTGTCCCGGGGGTTATCATATGGTGCGGCAGAACTCTCCTGACCCGCCCGCTGCGCCCCTCAGCAGTGTACTTCGTCGATCTGCCTGTTCTGCTCCCTACTCTGTCTCTGGTGAATTCTCTCACCCTCCACATCTCTGGCCTGTACCCCAGTTCTGATGAATAAGTAAATAAATCTTTAAAAAAAAAACTATTAGAAACTAATAACTCAGAACAATAAAGTGGCAAACTATACCAGAAAAATCTGAACCTAGTCTATTAGGCCCTACTAACTTATCAACAGAAATCAGACATAAACTGGAAGAATTCACACCAGTCAAAATGGGGGCTATTTGGACAATGATAAGAGTCCTAACTGCAAAGAATTAAAACAATATGATTGTTGAAATTGATACATTCTTTTTTTTTTTTTAAGATTTATTTATTTCTGCATACAAAACTGTGGTACAGGCCAGAGGTGCAGGGGCGGTGAGACCATTCACCAGAGACAGAGCAGGGAGCAGAACAGGCAAATCATGAAGTACACTGCTGAGGGTGAGACAGGGGAGGTCTGCTGAGCCATGTGGGTCGTCTCAGGGGCTGGGGATCAAACTCTCACTGAAGCGGCTGAGGCTAGCTTGCCGATGCACTAACAGGGAGGGCCTGAAATTGTTACATTCTTTTTTTTTTTTTTAAAGATTTATTTATTTGTGCATACAGAAGTGGGGTACAGGCCAGAGGCTCAGGGGCGGTGAGAGGCTTCACCAGAGACAGAGTGGGAAGCAGAACAGGCAGATGGACGAAGTACAGGCAGGAATCGAACTCATGTGGAAGTGGCTTTAACTTCTCAGTGCTGTGCTTCAACCCACTGAGCCACCAGGGAGGGCCAATTGTTACATTCTTAATGAAAATTCTTACCTAGAAAAATCAAGTCCTAGGTCTAGCTTGGAGAATAGCAGGGAACCAAGTCATCTGAAATTGGTAAAGAGAAAGAATCAAGCATTTATTTCACCTCACATCTGTGAGAATGGGCCATATTAAAAAACAGAAAACAAAAGTTGGCAAGGGTGCAGTAAAAAAGAAACACTCTCACAGGGCTGATGGGAATGTACATTGGTCCAGCCACATGGAAAGCCATGTGGCAGTTCCTCAAAACACTTAGAAATGGATCTACCATATTGCCCAGTGATTACACGATTATGGCAGGATCTAGTCAGGTAACCAGGCAGCATTCAGAGAGGAAGAGGGAAGTTCTTTATAACCCAGCAGAGGTCCCAGAGGAGATCTTTCTTCAAAATTGAACCCCAAGCAATTAGGTAACAGAGTATTTATTGTCTAGAGAAAGGGTATGGATAGTCAGGTGGGCCTTGAAAAATTTTATTAGTTGTTTCCTGAAACTTAGTCTATGGGCTAAGTCCTAACTTTTGCTAATCAACAGGGCAGCCTGACATTTCCCACTTCAACACTTCTAGGAATCTGCCCAAAGGACAAAACACTAATTTGAAAGGAAATCTGCACTCCTATGTTTATTGCAGTACCATTTACAAAGGCCAAGTATGGAAACAAACTATATGCTCCTCAAACAGATGAATAGATCAAAAGGACGTGATATATATACACAATGGAATACTACTGAGTGAGCAAAAGTGATAAACTCATGCCATTTGTGGTAATATGGGTGGGACTGGAAGGGATAAGTCTAAGTGAAGTAAGTCAGAAGGAAAAATGATAAGTATCAGATGGTTTCACTTATATATGGAATACGTAGAGAGCAAAAAAGGATGAAGGTAAAAAAATCTTGCAAGCTGACCATATATCTGAGACATACAACAGGGCTGGAGGAAAGAGAGGGGTCAAAATGGGAGGGATGAGCACAAGGGACTGGGGTAATAGATCACAGGTGTTCTGGTTGTGGGAGAACTACAGGGACTATACCTGAGGGAAGTAATCAAATACTGTCCAAAGTAATCAAATACTGTCCAAAAAGTAACAATGATGTAAGAAAATAAATTATGTTGATTTCTTAAAAAAAAAAGGAAACTAGAAACAACTTGTTTTCTCCTTATCAGTGATTATGAAAACACAGCGACACCCTGTTCTTTCTTTATTGGTTATTAGGAAAGAAACAAGGGACCATCTGTTGATTGTTACAAAAGACTCTACACTGCTGCCTTTTGTCTGAAGTTTCTTTTCAACCAATCCAACCAACAAATTATGTAAGTTTAATTAAACCACATCCCTGCTTGATCCTTAAAAATCCTCCTATACCCTGGTGTAACACATCTTTGATTGTGGACCTGTATCATGATTTGTATCCTTGAATAAAGGTTTTCTTAATGATCTTATTGTCTGATTCCCAGTCAAGAGCCACAACCACAGTCTCTCCTGTGAAGTTTGAGCCCCACCCATGGGTCCAGGAACTCCCTTTCAAGTTTGTTCCTTAAATACACTCTTTCAAGTTTTGGATATTCTTTCAAGTTCTCTATTATACCCATTAGCATCTAATTCAATACTTATAATTAAAAACAAACAAACAAACAAAAAAACATTAAGCGGTCCCTGTCCAAATTGCTGCGTGCTTTGTTCCTGGAGAAACCTGATTGATACACTAGTAAACTAAAGTTGTACAGATATAATGTGTGTGACCCAGCAATAATGTGAGTATTTCATGACTGTGTGTGTATGTGCATGTGTGTGCGTATGTGTGTGTGTGTGTGTGTGTGTGTGAGAGAGAGAGAGAGAGAGAAACATTCACATGTGTGGCAAACTGCAAAAAAAAAAAAAAAAGAATATCCAGAGTGGTGCTGTTCAGCATAATACAAAAATACTTACCTATTAACAGGAGACTCACTAACTGTGGCATATGGAAGAAGAAAATCAATGATATCTCTAAAATTTTTAATCTAAACAACTAGAAGATAAGAGTTATTTTCTGATAGAGAAATCTACAAGAAGACAGGTTTTACCTTTTGAAATTAATACTGGAAACTAGTTTTAGACATATTCAGTTTGAGATACCTATTTAAATGGAAGTGTTAAATAGAGAATTGGTTGGGCAAGTCTTCCTGATGAGCCTGATGACCATTAAAGTTATACATTTGGAGTTCCTCAGCATGCAGAGTTCTCAAAGTCAAGAGGTTGTTTTGTTACCAATTGAGTGACTGGGTTTTAGAGAAAAAAGCTAAGGACTGAATTCTGGGATGCATTTCTTGGATGACAGCTGTGTTCTCCTAAGTCCCTCTTTTTTGGTGCCACGCTCACCCCATCTGCCCACCTGAAAGGTCATCTTTCATCATCCAGTGTGACCTTCTAACATCATTCAGATGATAAAGCTCATTGTCTAAGCCTCCTCAGTAGCTTCCTGTTGCTCATATAGTGAGGTCCAAACTTCTCACCAAGAACTTCTGGTTCATTCCCATCCTGATTTTATTTTTCTCCTCTTGTTCTCTGCAAACTATTTCTTCTGTGGAGTAGTGCTATTTATTTCTCAAATACATGGGTCTCTCTTATTTCAGAGCATTTCTGCTATCTCTTCAATCTGCCTGGAAGAGTCACCTCATTGGTGCAAGGCTGATTCCTCCCTTTTATTAAAATTTCAGCTCACAGAATTTCCTTCTAAATATCTTCTCTAAAGAAATTCCTCCTTCTCTAACACTCATCAATAGCACTTTCCATAACACATATGGCATTACCTTAGTTATTTGCATATTGTTGTCTTTTCTACTGGAATCCCAGCTCCCACATGGCAAAGACCCCACCTTATTTACTTTTGTCTACTGCAATGTCTTCAACACCATATATCACTGGACTGTTAGTAAATATTTGTTGAATAAATGAATGATGACATATAAGACTACATTATTTTTAGCTTCCACATTCAAGGAGAGAAACCTATACTGCCATTTTGACTTGATCCAGGATTTATGGTTTTTGACCTACACTTTTTACTTCTTCACCAACTCCCTTGCAGTTACAAAAGCCCAACAGTGTTGCAAAGATATTACAAAGAACATCTTCTTCCAAAGCCTATAAATCAGAAGATTGTATAAAGAGGTTACTCTAATCAAAATGTCCCACAGTGGAATGTAGCCAGTGACTCCAGGGAGTGAAGGACATGCCCTCGGAAGTCAATAGAAGGGTCAGACCAGTTTTGAGACAGCATTTGCTAAGGTTCAGTCATGGGGCAGGTTCTGGAACTGTTCTTCATTTTGGTAGGGCTGTTGGTATGTCTAGTCTACCTGATGAAATGTGTGAGATTCTCCAAATGTATTTTTTTGCACTTCTGGGGAGTTCTGCCAAGGTATTTCTTGAAGTCAATGGGACAGTGGGCAGGTAAGAAAGTTTTCCATTTCTTCTGTTTTGTTGTATCTGCTTCTTATTATTTATGTCTCAAGGATATATCACATCTTTTCCTTTTGAAAGCAAAGATGTAATTCCCTTGGGTGATGTAATTTGGGAGAGGGTGGTGGAATGAGTGAAATTAAAATGTTCTAAAAAGACAAAATGTTGGGCTTGAGGAGAAAAACTAGGGAGGATGTTAGTCAAGTCTCCCTTATGTGCCTGCCCCCTCATCCTTGCTAGCTGGGTTTGACATAAGTAGTAAAGAATTCATAAATTTCTGTATCCTGTTTTGCATATTTTTAAAATATGCAAATAAAATTTTAAATAGAATGGCTTCCTCCATTCTATTAAAGGATATTTCAAAAGTCTGAAATCCAAGTAATTGCATTTTATTTATGTATCTTTACATCTCTGCCAAGTTTAATTTCTTCTCTCAGGTGTAATCCCTATAAAATGACCACCACTAAGATACCTGTGAATTGTCACCACAGTCTCTGTGCTCTCCACTCCCCTCCTACTCCCTTGCTGAATGTCTCTGATTTTTAGTTTGCCTGCTAGCTTTGTCTTCTTTTCTTAACCTCTCACCCTCCTTCCCCATTAAAGGAGATTTCTCTGAGCCCTATCATGAGTTTGTGAAGGCATTACCAAATCAAGACATCTAAGGCCCTCAGGGAACCATGTTTTAAAAATATTTAGATAAAGAATCTGGGCTGGTTTGTATACCATGTTGATTAAATGCTACCTTCTAATGGGACTTATTTCCTGTGTTTTAGCTCCATTGCTGGGTTTAAAGTGAAGGCATAAGGCTATAGTTTTAGTATCTCCTTATAAAGTGCTAAAGGTAGAATTCCAAGCTGGGACCATGAAATGCAATGACTTTAGAAAGTTTAAGTCATATAAGAAATATCATGCATGACTATCAGGAGGTAGTGTGAACTTTCCAGGGCTGCCAGGTAAAATACAGGACACTCACTTAAATTTGAGTTTCGGGTAGATGAAAGGATTTTTTTTTTAGTATATGTCGTTACAAATATTGCATGGGACATATTTACACTAAAAATTATCATTGTGTATCTGAAAGTCAAATTTAACTGTGCATTCTGTATCTTTGTATACTAAAGCTGGAAAATTTACAGCTTTAAGAATGGAGATGAAAAAGTTGCCATATGAAAATTGTTAGAATGAGAAAAAGATTTTTGAGCCATTGCTTGTTGCATTGGTTGTGTGTGTGTGTGTGTTCTTGTATACTTGTGCATGTGGGTGTCTGCACACTCCCTTGTTCTAGGAGTAGTATGCTGTCCCCAGTGAACTTGAGCTTGAGTGTTCTGGTCTCAATATGCTGCTGCTCCACACAGACACAGATGAGGTGGCTTAGAACTCTTTCATTTTAGAGAGTGTTTTCCATGGTTCCATCAACCTCCTCACTCCCAACAGCTGTTGTAACTTCTGGAATAAAGCTGTCAGGCAATGTGGAGACAGGGATTCAAGATTTAATTCGGGCTTCCAAATACTGGCCAGCCGGGACCATCACTCTCTAGAGAGTGAGGCCCCGAACAGTTACAGAAACCAGTTTTTATACACTTTAGGCAAGGAACCGAAACTTAGTTGTTACAGAGATAACATTCTTACAGTGGGCCCTAGGATGTTTGTCAAGTCTTAATGACCCATATGACCCACATCCTGGTCCTGTTGAAGTTGGTAATCAGTTTTACACATTTTTTACATTTTACAGCAAAGTTATTTGGAGAATTTCCTATTGTAGTAAGCAGCAAGCAGAATACAGAAGCAAAATAGCGTTAGCTTGGTTCAATACAGGTCCAACATTCTCCCCTTTTTCTTGTTGCTTTCTGAATTCTTTCAGAGACTCTCTTCCTCAGTACTTAAGGGAACATAACATTAAGATTTTAACCTGACCAACTTGATGCCGCACATATTGGAGAAAGCGAGGCAAGGCCCAATGGTCGGGGCCAGAAAGAGCATAGTATGGGGTCCTGCCAAGACAGAGAGCAAGGAAGTTAGCTAGGGGGACCAGGAAAACAATCCCTGAAGTCAGTTTTCATTTGATCATTGAAACTGGTCATAATCCTTCAGATTTTTGTGTACTAGGCTTATTGTGTCTCTGATAAGTCCAGAGTTGTTGGCACAGAAGCAACATGCCTCGCCCAGGGCTACAAATAACCTGGCTTGCTTCGGAAAAAGTAAATCTAGGCCCCGACGGTTTGGGAGTACTGGTTCCACCAGGGAGTCAACCTGGCATTCTAACTGAGTGATGATGGTGGATTCCAAGTGGGACAAGTCCCGCTGGACCAACTCACTCAGGCTTGGTTAAAATTTCCAGCAATTAGGGCACACAGATCCCAATCAAAACAGGGGGCTATTGCTGTAGAGTGTTTAGCCACCACCCTCTCTGTCTCCCACACATAAGGATAAGGATGTGTGCGTCTCCCACACATCTAATCGGACTACAAGCATTTGTGGACTGAGACACAACATGATTATTGTAATGAAAGTCTTGGCTTTAGTGGATCCGTGGGGTGTGATCATGTCCTCCATTGTCCTTTGTTCCTGCTGGCACTGTCTTTCTTTAGGTGAGAGTAGTAAATCCAAGACTTTACTCTGTCTACCTCTACAGCCATGGGTATGGTCAAAATCACCAAATGCAGGCCCTTCCACCATGGTTCCAGTGTTCGGGAGTCATGTCTGCGGATCCAGACCATGTCATCCACATGTTTCAACCAATCCAGGGTCAGAAGCAAGCACAATTTCTTCACATGTCTCTCTGCTCCATGTGGCTCCCTCAGGTCATCTTCTGGTTCTCCATCCTGCTTCCTTCTTCTCCAGACTCCTCTCCAGATTCCTCTCTTCCCTACTCAGCTCTACCCTCCTCCTGGATGGGGCAGGGAATCTGGAACTTACCCTTTTCCTGGGGACCACCCTGTTATAATCCCCCCTTTTGATTTTTAATACCACCATACCTATGGTGGCACAGATTTTAGGGTGAAATCTCAAGAGACAGTCTTATTAAGGTTTTTTTTTAGTGTATGCAAAAAAGGGGGCAATCAGTTACCAGCATTGTCCATGAATGTACAATATGACAGTCATAACTGGAAAATAGTCCATTAGTACCTGTGAAAAACAAACTTCTCATGTATATCAAAATCACAGGACCAAACAAAAAAAATCTTTAAAAACTGGTTTAACCTCTCTCTTTTTTTTTGAACCAAGTTCTCTCAACCTTGATTCCAACTTGTCCAGCAATGCACAAGCTATTTACAAACTCAAGCTACCTTTCAACCATTTTTCTATTTTTGCATAAAATCAAACAGCAGTTTTTTTTTTCATTGTTGTTGGCCTTCTTGGAGTTCTCCATATACGATCGGAGTGAACCATTGATGTCCAGTCCACATAGGCTTCAGGAAAATGTCAGTCTCAGCAGACTCCACCTGGAGTTTCCTCTTCTTGAGGTTACCAGGACTTTCTATATTTCTGGGTCGTCCAGGCCTGCCAACAGAGGCAAGCTTCCTCACCTTCTCTGGAGGTCTCGGGAACCCTACAGACAAAGCAGCAGGTTCTCCTCTTCTTGGTTCATTTCCATTTGAAGTTCCTCAAGAATGCCAAGCAAAGCCACTGAAACACATTTTCAATTTTTTAGTTTAAGGAGGCAAAATTTCCTGTTGAAGTTATGCAAAAATAGATTTCTGAGTAGTAAAAATTACTACAACAATTTTATACTGTGTTGGTATCAAATGGAGAGAAAAATGGAAACACAAGTAGCTCTACTGAAAAAAAATGCAACATTATTGCAGATTCTGGTTATTCAAAACAAGAAAACTGTCTTTGAGTTAAACAATGGAAAAAAATTTAACAGTGTTATTTCAAACAAAAGCTTAGTAAAAATCAGCCTGTTCAGTCTTTTGTAAAAATCTCTTTCACTGTCAAAATTTTAATCAATTGGAATCAGTTAAGGTCTTTTTTTCTGGAAACAAACTTTCCAAACTATTGAATATAATATTTTAAGACAACAATCAACTTTTACAATTTACATAACACATGATATCGAAAGGTTTTTATGCACTTTTCAGAAAATCAGTGTTAACATTTATGTTCATGCCATGTTTTACCTTTTTTTTCAAGTGACAACATTTCCTTTACAGTTTTTATTTTTAAACTAGGTAAACCAAAAAGACCAAATTGATCTAACTGCCTTTCCCAGGAGGGAAGGGAGAAAATTTTTGTGGAGTATCTCAGGAGTTCTACTGAGGTTCCACAAAATTTCCACTGATGACCCAAATGACAGACTTCCAAATTATACTTCAAAGCCTAAGGCTTTGGAAATAGGAAGAAAAAGTTTTATTAACTGCAAATGGCTTTTACTAATTATCCTTGAGAGGAAGATATATATATCTTTTTTTCTGAGTGACTTGTCATTGCAGTAGATGACCTCTGTGAGTAACAGAAAAACAAACTTAAATAATTAAAAAGAATGATCAAGACTTACGAATACATCTAATTGTTGACAAGACTTAGTAATGTTAAAAGTATCAGATTTTTTGTTAGCAAGACTATACTACTGATATACATAGACATACACTACTGATATTAAGTAGCAAGTAATTTAAGCACATGAAAATTTTTAATACTTGTAGACCTTTATCACTTGGGTCTTTGTATTGTTATAGAACTTCAGCTTTTACAATATAGAGCAGAGTAGACCTGAAAGTTAATTTTCCTCACACTAAGGAGCAAAACGTAGATGTGAGTGAAGTTTCCTCACAGTAAGGAGTAAAACAAAACAAAACAAAACATAGACATGAGTTAAGTTTCCTTATAATAAGGAAACAATTAAGCAATTTTAGAAATTTTTTTGAGGACAAAATAAAAGTTTCTATTAAAGAGATAAGCAGATTTGCTTTCCTGGAAGAGTACTTGGTTAAGTGATGTCTAGGTGTGGACGCTGAAAAGAAAACCAGGTTAATTATTATTTTTTTTGGTAAATACCATGAATCTTTTAAAAACACATTTAAACACAAAGATTAATACATATGACATTAGAACTTTAATGCATGCATGCTTTTTGAATTGTTAGATTTTGAGCTAGTTTGTTTACCAAATCTTAGATTGTGATCTTTAAACTTGTTTTGTCAGAATTTATATAGGCGTTAGCTTATAATTGACCCTCCAGAGGTAAAACAAGATCTCTTGACTTGTATTAAAATTTTGGCCATATATACCAATTGTAAAAGGTAGTTATTTTACCAATATCTGTGAAGATGCTGAGACATCTGTTATCGTCTTCATTTTAGTTATTTAGCAACTTTTTAAATGACATGCACATTTACAACTTGATTTTTAAATAACTTAAGTTTTATTTTGTTACACCTGATGTTTTGATACACGTTGATACACCTCAGGGAGTTTTCCAAAAAACAATTTTTTTTTTTACATAGAATAAGTATCCAATTTTAACCATCACAGAAAAACTTTAGACCCTAAACAATTTTAAAGGCAACGATAAGCAGAGAAAACCTAAGAGTGTTTTAAATTTTTGTTTTTCCAAACCAAGCAAGGAAACAGTTTCCCTGAAACAAAAGAACATTTAACTTACAGACCTTGAGGACCAAGAGAGGCAATAGAATAAGATCTTGTCTGTTAACGAATGTAGCACCCTATATAACAGGCCTTGTCTGTTAGTAAGGCCAAAGTAATTTGATAGCCTTATCTTAAACAGACCTTAAAAGTGGAAGACACAGCAAGATTCAAGGTTTTTTTTTTTTTTTTACTATGGAATAGACCAGGAAACTATATCAAGATGCAGGAAAAAAAAAAAAAAAAAAAAAAAAACCAGTTTCCCTGGCTGGGTTGCGGACATACCAATGATCTCAGCACTGGAGCAAAGGTCCAGGCAGCTGCTAGCTGAAGATAATGGGGTAATGGGGAGCCCCATACCTGTCAGCCAGGGTGGTTATGACTTTCGTGTTAATATGCAAGGACATCAGCTAGACTTACATAGCAAGAACATTTTGAGTTAATCCTCGAGTTAAAGGCTTGGGTCTACTTAAGGAGAGGAAATCTGGTCACAATAGCAAGGGAAGGAGAATATTTGCTCAGAGAGGGGGAGCTCTGCTCGGTAAGAAAAGGCTGTATGGGTTGCTGTCTGTTTGCAGTTGATTATGATGACAATGGTAACAGTGAAAGATGTGGTCCTGATTAGGGAAGAGCATTGATAAGCGGTTGTAGAAAGCAGGTCCAGGTCTCAGTTTTAATCCTAAAAGCTGGAGAGCCACGGGGTGGGACACGTGGATTTCTTAGTATGAGTTCCTGCGTTGCTGTACCCTTTGTCTTCTGGCTGGCAGGACTTAGAAGCTAACCTGGGGTGTAAACCAACTTATCCTGTCACGGGAGTCTTCTAGAAAGTGGCAGCTGACTCTAGTGGCCTCTTACATGGCTAACCAGTGCCCATTATTTTTGTGGCAAGAATGAGACCTGGTTTGAGAATAGAACTCAGGAGCCAGCTTTCTTCCTAAGGTAGAATGGGAATGGCAGGCCTAGTGAGAGAGATCAGCAAGGTAGTGCAGCAAAGAGAATGGCTTGAGGCATTCACCCAGTCGGGCCTAAGGCAACTGCAAGGCCATTTCTGCATGTTTTAGGGTTCACCAAAGAGCAGCCTTGGCCAGAACCCTGAACAGCCAGGTAGTCGCCAAACACCAATCCCTCTCAGAGAAAGAGCATAAGAAAGAGAAACTGGAGAAATCTTACCAAGGCCACAAAGATACTATGTTGGTGGACACCAGGTGATGGCTTCCCTTATAATTCCTTCCTCTATCAGTTAGGATCACACACAAAAATGAAATAAAAATGACCAGACAGACAACATGGAGGCAAAGAGAATTCTCAAATAGAGCCAGTAGGTTCCCACAACCGGCATGGATATTTTTGGGTTGACCCACCAGAACCTGAAAACCTTTCCTAGGGCATGCCTGGTGTCCTGGGGTCCTGCCCATCTCAGGATCTCCCCATCGCGTCCGACTGATCCAAACAAGACACAGACCCAGGCACCACCTGAACCAGCAGCTTGCCCTCTTACCTCCGCCTGCCTGCTGCATTCTGCTGCGGACCCCAAAGGGGAAGAGGGGCCAACCCTGTTTCAGGCTGAGCTCCAACCTTCCCGACCAACACACCAAATGTTGTCACTGCTGGAATAAAGCTGTCTGGCAATGTGGAGACAGGGATTCAAGATTTAATTCGGGCTTCCAAATACTGGCCAGCCGGGACCATCACTCTCTAGAGAGTGAGGCCTCAAGCAGTTACAGAAACCAGTTTTATACACTTCAGGCAAGGAACCAAAACTTAGTTGTTACAGAGATAACATTCTTACAGTGGGCCCTAGGATGTTTGTCAAGTCTTAATGACCCATATGACCCACATCCTGGTCCTGTTGAAATTGGTAATCAGTTTTACAAGTTTTTTACATTTTACAGTAAAAGTTATTTGGAGAATTTCCTATTGTAGTAAGCAGCAAGCAGAATACAGAAGCAAAAATAGCGTTAGCTTGGTTCAATACAGGTCCAACAAAGCTTTATTTTGAACATTTAATGAAGGCAGTAGAGAGCTGGAAACTTCAGAGTTGGAATGGATTTGAGGGACACTGCCTTGGAACACTGTGTATAGAGTGTAGGCCTGCAAGAAAATGTGACCAGTGAGATAGAAGACTAGAAATCCATTCTCTCCTTTAAAACTACTTTTGCATTTTGCAGTGATCACTGGAGCAGGAGATGGGATTGGAAAAGCATATTCATTTGAGGTAAGTTGCATTTGTAGACTGTCTCCTCCCTGGGTATTGAATACCTAGGCCATGTGACTCCTGTCTTAAACACCAGTTTGATGATTATGAAAGCAATATGCATTTTCTTATGAAAGACAGTATTTTTTATTACAGAGGAAATTTAAAAACAATATCATCATCCCTGGATACCGTTATCTTTGAGTTTTCCCTTCCAGACTTGTTTTTCTGATAATAGAATTTATCACAAATTCCACATTTTCATCAATGAATTATTGTTTCTTGGAATTCCAATATGTTTTATTTCTTCCTCATGCCTATAATACTAAATTCTAGGACCATATATAATACACTATAAGAAATAGAAAGAATACTAGAAATGATAAGAGGATGGCTGTTTAAAAAATCACACAATGCCTATGGTGATGGCTCATGGGTGATTTTGTGACGGAAAGCCCACGGGGATTACAACTGAGATGGAAAAAAGGCACAAAGTGATGTAAAAATAAACTATCACATATAAAAAAAGTCACAGTGCCTTAAAATATAATGAAAAGAAGCTTATTCATAATAGAAAAATAAATAATCCTAGAGACAAGCAATATAAAATGTGTAGGTTCATTTCTAAAGAAAGCAGTAAAATCCAATTGAGAAATATAAGACTTAACCTGAGTAAGAGAAAAATACCATATTCTTGAAGAGAAATATTAAACTTCAATTCTGAACTACTCAAATTTATCTCAAACCCACTGTTATTTTTAAAGTGTTATATTTGGTGTTGAACATTTTCTCATATCAAACAATCATTTATTTTTTTAAATTATTACAAAAGTTTATTTTTACATCATTTTGCACATTTTTTTTTTCCATCTCGATTATAATCCCCGCGGGTTTCCCAACACACCAAATCACCCGTGTGCCACCCGTGCATTTCCCTCCCTTCCGTTTTTGATCCCATTCCCCATTCCACCCCCACAAAATGTCTCTGGTATATGCTTCATTATTTTTGTTATTTTCTCGCCTGGTCCATTATACTCCTGCTATGAGTGAAACCACCCGGTATTTTTCTTTCTCTTTCTGGCTTATCTTACTAAGCATGATCTTTTCCAGCTCCATCCAAGTTGCTGCAAAAGACATGTGTTTCTCTTTTTTGGTTGCTGAGTAATATTCCATTGTATATATGTACCACATCTTTTTTATCCAGTCATCTACTTTTGGGCATTTGGGCTGCTTCCATGTTTTTCCAGTTGTAAATAAAGCAGCAATGAAGATGGGGGTACAGGTATCTTTTTCAATCAGTGTTTTTGTGTCTTTTGGGTAGATACCTAGGAGTGGGATTGCTGGGTCGTAGGGAAGCTCCATGTTTAGCAGTTTGAGGAAGCTCCAAACAGTTTTCCATAGTGGTTGTACTAGTTTGCATTCCCACCAGCAGTGCAGGAGAGTTCCTTTTTCTCCACATCCTCGCCAACATTTGTTGTTGCTAGTTGTCAAACAATCATTTTTAACTGACATAATATTCCATCAAATGGATGGTTGATAATTTAACTATTTTCTTGTTGAACAGTTTAGTCTTTAGTTTTTTTTCTACATTTTATATAATTGAGAAATTTTTATGTATAAATACATAAACTTTGCTGATATCTGATTATTTGGGGGATTACTTTCCTCAAAGTGGACTTGCTAGGTTGGAGATTATGTTTCTTTGAAGTTAAAATAATTTTCATCTATTTCTTGAATGCGTCACATTATCAAAAATTCTCAGAATTGTTGAAGAATTATGAAACCACATTCAGCAGCTGTATTTTCTTGTTCCCAAAAGTCTTTATCCTCATGGTTGACAAGATGGACACCTGGACACTGACCATCTTGCATGAGGTAGACAGTGTGAAGTCCTTGATAGAGGCAATTGATGGGGATCTCCAGGATATTAATACATTTAATCCATACTGATATAAAAAAAAACCCTACTTCTGGATTTTGGGTTTGTACCCCACCCTCCATTTCTTTCTTTCTTTTTAAAGATTTGTTTATTTATTCATGCAGAACTGGGGTACAGGCCAGAGGTGCAGGGGGGGACAAAGTGGGGAGCAGAACAGGCAGATTAACGAAGTACACTGCTGAGGGGAGCAGTGGGCGGGTCAGGAGAGCGCTGCTGCCCAACTGAATCACCTCCGAGACCACGGATTGAACTGGCACTGAAGCGGCTGCAGCTTGCTTGCTGTCCTGTGTCCTAACTCACCAGGGAGGGTCCCCACCCTCCATCTTCTGATGATAATTTCTTTGATACTGATCTGCTGCTTCGACTTCATTTTTTGGAGCTGGAGATTTTCTTTGTTTTTATTTTAATGTGTATATAGCAACCTCAGGAAATGAACAGTAATGCCATTAGGCTGAGTGTTGAGGTTGTGAAGAAGAGTCAGCACTACTCTTTAAGCTATATCTCTCATGCTCCAAAAACTAGATGGGAAGCTTTTCTAGCTATTTGCTTTAAAATGATGCCATCTTTTCTGTAACTGTTTCTCCCTGAAACTAAGTTTCAGGGAAGACCTAATATTTCATCCAAAGGCTTCATAGCCTCATTTCTTTGGATTATTAAACAACTCAGATGCTTTATGATTTTCAAGGCAGGTCCTTTAAAAAGATTATAAACTATCAGGAAACTCATATAGAAGGTCTTCTTTACTATTTTGAAAGGTAGTAATCTAGGGGTTAGGCACTGTGGGTTTCAGACCTCATTCTGACACTAATTGTCCAGAGATTTGAGACAAAGTATGTATCCACTTAGGGCTTCAGGGTCGCAGCACACACACACACACACACACACACACACACACACACACACACACACAAAAGTGTCTTCGAGTTAAAAATTCTTTCTGCTCTAGAATAATTCTTGCTTTGTTCTTTTACTTGTAGAATCTTTTCCTTTTTTTTTTTTCAAAGTTTGCAATCAACAGTTCTATGGGCTTCCGACAGCTCCCAAATTTTGTCCCCTTGAAAGGTCTGTTCTTTCCTCACCAACTACTCCTCTCATGAAACAGTTCAGCCTGGGATGCTGTAGACTATAATGGTTAAGAGTCAGATCTGGGGACTGATCAGATATCTGTGTGTTCAAGATCTGCCTTGATGCTCACTCAAGAATTCCTACATCAATAAACTTAAGGTAATGGTAGTCCCTTGGGATTATAAGGGTGAAAGTGGAGGAGGTGGGCAAAATGCTTTGCAGAGAGCAGGAGCTTCATGTTTAGTCACCATTATTATGAGATGCTTAAAATATGTTTCCTTTACCTTTTTTTTTTTTTGAAAAAGGAAAATTGTATTGTGCTTGTCTATATTGTTATTCTTCCCATCGATCTTTCTGATATCCCAAGATTTTTTTTTTTTACTATTTCCTTTTTGTTTAGGGAAATGTGTTTATTCTTTCAGGGAAGGTCTGCTGGGACAAATTCTTACTGTTTTCCTTTGTCAGAGAATATCTGAATTTCTTCTTAATTCCTGAAGGATTTTCAGTTGACCATGGTTTCCTTCTAGTACTTGAAGTGATTGTCACTTCCAACCTTTTTGATATCTGATGAGAAGTCTGACATCATCATTCGAATAATTTTTCCCTTAGTGATAAAATATCATTTCCCCTCCCATGCTTTTAAGACTTTTTTCTTTATCTTTTGTTTTCAGAAGTTTACTTTTTTTGTGACGTTTCTTGGTGCGGTTTTCTCTAGATATACCTTGATTGGAGGACACTCAATTTCTTGGAATTGTAGGTTATTTATTATTTATTTTTTTTACATCACTTTCAACATTGCACAGTATTTGGTTTCTCTCCTCAGATATAGTCCCTGTAGGTCTCTTACCACCATATTACCCGTGATCTAACACCATAGTCCCTTGCATCTTTCTGGAAGTATATTTTATGTTGCATTTTAACCTAATTGGTATTTGTATGTTAGAGTGGTGAGAGAGGCTTTGTCTGCCATGAAAGGAATTCCAGTCATTCAGTACTGAAAGCAGGTGGGAAAAAACAGTGGCAAGGGATGGGCCTGGGGAGGAGGATGAGAGGGGGCTTGGCTTGCTCTTGTGAATCTCTGAAGCCACTCTTCTGATGGTCTTTCACGCCATTTTCTCTCCTTTAGCACCTGAATGCAAGCCTTTCTTTTATTCACTGCCACACAGAGGAAGCCCTGTCTGCCCTAAGTTCCCGCCACCTGTTATAGATTAGCAGCAACGAGCACCTTCCTTAACCCCAGCTCGAAGTTACAGTAGAAGGAAAACAGGGCCCATTCATCACAGCAGTGCCATTCTTCTTGAAGACGGTGCCCGGGAGTGAGTACTGGGAAAGGGAGTGATTTGGTGGCTTAACTCCCTGAAAAGGAGGCCACCAAACCCCTGTAAGGAGCCTGTCAGCTTGGACATTCTGGAAATAAGATTGAGTCCTGCTCAAGTGGACAAAAGGAACAATGCCGACCCAGTCTCCCGGGTATTCTCTGTGCCCCGCCCCCTCCTGGCCCAGACCACTTCACAGGGAACCTTTACAACGTTGATGGCTCTTGAGGGAATTGGCACATTTCAGGAGAGGCATCAGGCAGAGAGCATCTTTTGTACTGAAAATGCAAATTGTCTTCCATTTAATGGACAATCTCCCCTTCACCGGGCTGATGAAGTAAATTATGAAACAAAGGTGCTTAATTCTTTAGCCATCCTTTTGATGGATTCCAAGGCTCAAAAATGCAGAGGAAAGGTGGGGGGCAGGGATTTCCATGGAGCAAAAGCTAGAGAAGACTCAGTTATTTTTGGGCAGCGTTCAGCTTTGAAATGGGATGGTTCTCTGTGTTTTATTCTCTATCTTTTTATTTTTCTATTGGTTAAACATTTCAAATACACTTTACTTTAGAACAGTTTTATCTTCCCAGCAAAACTGAGTGGTAGGCACACACACGCCTACACAGACACAGACATAGCCTCCCTCACTATTGATATCTCCAATAGGACATTTGTTCCTATCGATGAACCAACACTGACATCAC